TGTGCTATCTCTAAAATTTAAATTTTGAATTTTTTACTTGTTGGTTTTTTAATTTTTGTATTTAAAATTTTTTGATAAAATTAAAATATAATCATATATATAATATGTTTTTATTAAAAAAATGTTAAATGATTAAGAGTATTAACAAAGCAATAAACATATCTTTTTAATAAATTTAGTTTAAAGAAACCATTTTAATTTTAAAATTATGATTTATTTTCAAAAATTATTTTGTAGCCATTTATTCACATTTATGCTAATTAAAGTTTAAAAATTGGTATCATTATGTAATTATTTTTAGGATTGGGTATTAATATCTTTATTTATATACTAAAAAAGCAAAATTTGTAAATAATTCAAAGTATTATCTTTATACACATTCTATTCTATTTCATAAAAATTATTAAATATAAATATTTTATAAATTCTTCTTCATATTTAGTATATTCAAATAAAAATAATATATTCTGTATACTTTTATTAAAATCATCTATTAAACTAAATAAAAACTGATAAAATATCAACGTATATTTTTTTAAATTATTATAAATATTATCATATTACAGTTTTTAATTCCTCTCTTTCTTTCTATAATTGGCGAATTATATTTTTTTAAAATATATAAATTCTAATATTCATGTTTTTAAAAACTTTTTCGTACTAATTCGTATTTTATAAAATTTAATAAAAAATTTTATGAATCAAAATCTTTATTATTAAAAAAGAAATTAATAATTTTTTTATTTAATTGTTTAGATTACAAATAAGTTTTTCAAGCCCAATATTTTAAATATCATCTGAAAGCAAATATTGCTTTTAGTTATCTTAATAAGTTTTTATTTAATTTTGAAATTTAAGTTTTATTTTTTATATATATAATTTAAAAAATAAATAATAATATTATAGGTTTTTTTTACTAAATTTAATTTTGTAAAGCTCATATTTTAATTAAAAATAAATAGGTTTTCTAAATAATTTTCTTAAAATTTTTAAAATATAATATATTATATTTTATTTCATACATTATTTTAAAGTTTTTTTACAAAAATTAAAATGTAATCAATATAGAACATAATCTTATAAAAGCAAATATTATTAAACTAAAAATTAATTATTTATATCGAAAATAAATATATTAAAGATATTATTAATTTCTTAAAACAAATTTTATTTAAATAATTTACTTGAACTGAAGTTCTAGTGCTATTTTATTATAGGTTTAATAATTTTTCCCAAAAAGTTTATATTTACTAATTTAATAAATGCTTTTTTAAATAATATTTCTATGTTTGATGTTAAAATTAAAATGTAATTTTATAAAAATTTAATAAAAATATATAAGAAAATTCAATTTTTTTTTAAATGCGTGATATTTTATTTAAAATAAAATTATTAATAAGATGGATTATTAATTGTTGAAATAATATGTGGGATTATATAAATTTGTACTGCATTTTTTAATGGTCTAAACGGATTTTTTAAAATATGAAATAAGTTTAAATAATAAAAATAAAATATTTAATTATGGTGTTGAAAATACAAATATATTTAAAATATGACTAATTCTTATTATTGACTAAAATTAAATACTTAATAGTTTACAATTTTAACTAAACTGTATAAATTTTTTTATTGTAAAAATATATTTAGTTATATATATTATATTTCTAATTAATAATCTTCTGCATCTCAAAATATTGTTTATTATTTTAAATTATAATATGTTTGAAATATAATAAGATTTAATATTAAAAATTAATTAAAGAGTCATTTTTATTTAATTTTTTAATTCTTTATTAACTAAATTATAAATAGGATATATATAAAATAACAAATTACTTAATAGGATTTTTATTTTTTATATTCAAAAGATAAATTAAAAGAAAAAGTATTAATTAATATATATAAGAAAAAAAATGCATCAATATAGATAATTGAGTAAGATTCTAGAAAAAAATAAATATGAATAAAATATATTATTTGGATATAATATATAAAAAAAAAATTAAATATAAAAAATTACTTTATAATATATTATGAATTATTCAAAAAATAATTATAATACAATTAATTATAAAAATATGTAAAAAATGATATTAATTTTATTAATTATTATAATAATTCTAAAAAATATTTTTGATAAATAAAACATATAAAATTAAAAAAAGATATAAATAACTAAATAAAAATAAATAAATAAATAATAAAATAAAAAAAAAATAATAAATAAAATAAATAAATAAATAAATATAATTAATTTTATTTTCTTTTATAATTTTATAAATGTTTTTAAAATATATTTTTTTTATAATAAATAATATATAATATTAAATTTTATTTTATTTTGAATTAAATATATAATTTTTTTTATTTTTTCATTTTCAGATATATTTTTTATATTTTATAAAATAGCTTTTATATTCGTATAGTAATTTAATATAAGGCTTGATAATTTTTTTTTAAGTATTATATTTTAAAATATAAATTCAATTTTTTATTTATTTTTTAACAAAAATTTATTTTTTTGATATAGTCTGTTAGTTTTACTATTTCTTTCTAGATTATTAAATTATTTTTGAATATTTTTTTTATTTATATTTAAGTAGCTGAAGCAATAATAAAATTTATTTATTTAGAGCATAATAATTAAAATACAAGAAATTAATTACGATATTATTATTTTTCTAATAGAAAAATAAAATTAAATTATACATATGAAAATTGAGGATTTCAAATAAGTATTGTAAAAGTTAAAAAAAAAAAAATGTATGAAAATAAATATATGAAGCTTATAGAAGAAATAAAAAAATAAATAATTTAATTAATACTTTTTTAAAATTTACAAGTAATTTATAAGACAAAAAATTATTTGTCGAATATTATCTGATTCCCAACTTTATTCGAATATTCAAAGAAATCTAAATATTAAGAAATAAATATAAGATAACAAAATTTATGTATGTGGGACTTATATTAAATATATATATATGAAATATAGTTTATAAAAATATGCTTTTTATCTAAAATTATACTACTTAAAATAATAAATAAGATAACCTTTTATAATAAATAAAATTTTATTTTTATTTTATTCATTAAAAATTTACAGAAACAATTAAATAAAACACTATTATTACAATTAATTTATATTTATTAATAAACAAAAAGAATAATTAAATAATAAATATTTTAATAATATTTTAAATTTAAAAATAATATGTTTATTATAATATGTAATTTAATAAATATTATTTATCTTTTAAAAAACTTATATGTTTTTTTTATTTTCAAATATCTATTATTATTTTCTAACTTATTATAGATCTTATGTTTAATTAAAAAATATTATAAATATATTTTTTTTCAAAATTAAATATCCTAAAAATATTTATCAAAATATAATTTGTTTTTAAATAATTCTGTAAATTAAATTTTATAATACTCAATAATTTTATAAATATAATAAAAAAACTAAAAAAGTATATTATAAACCCAACACTATTTATATAACCATTAAAAATAATTATAATAAAATATAATGTCTTCAGCATCAAAATTTATATAAAACTCAAATTTAATATAATAATTTATTTAAAAAACATGGAAAGCCTCACCATTGGATTTAGTTACCCCAAACACTTTAATTCGCATTATTTACCGATTAATCTTGTTAATTTTTATTATTTTCCCATTCTCCATTATTACTAGAAACATTATTTCTCTCTTAATCATTTTCTGATTTATTAGTTTAACCCCATCCACCAGTATTATTAGTACTATTATTAGTATTTGTTTGATTTCCCCATCCTCCTCCAGAAGCTTAATTTGAAGAATTATTATTTAAGCTTCCCCAACTATTTGATGTTTTAGTTTCGTTTTCCTGTTCATTAGATGCTTTGCTTTAAGTTTATTCTTTCTATTGAGAAGAATCACCCCATCCAGAGTTAGTTTTTTGTTGTTAATTATCTCCCTATCCTACATTAATTGTATTATTGGCTGTAGAAGTATTTCCCCATCCAGTGTTATTATTAGTTGCTGAAGTATCTCCCCATCCTCCTGTGTTAGAACCAACATTTTTCGAATCTCCCCATCCAGTATTACTATCACAACCACCACCCCAAGCATTTTATGAAGAAGAATTATTAAACCCTTGTTTGTTATCATTATTACCATTGTTATTGTTATTATTTCTTCTTTATTATACTTTAGGACAATCTTTTGAACAATGCTTTTCATCACCACAATTAAAGCACACTCTTTTTTTAGAATTTTCTGGATGATCACATTCTTTACTAGAATGTATATTTTGCAAGCATTTAAAGCAATATGGAAGTTCAGTACAATCAATTGCTCTATGTCCTTCTTTTTAACATTTAAAACATTTTGGCTTTTCTCTTTATTAAAATCCTCCAGGTTTTTAATATGTTGAATTTGTATCATTATTGTTTCTAAAACTGTTTTATTAATTTTATGGACAACCTTTTGTAGGATGACCTTCATCTCCGCAATTAAAGCAAACTCGTTTATTCATATGGTCTGGATTTTAGCAGTCTTTAGATTAATGTCCTTATTCTTTACATTTCATACATAATGGAGGTTCTGTACAATCATTACTTTTATGGCCTTCTTTTTTACATAAAAAACATTTCATTACACGAGCTTAATATTGCTAAGCATTTGGGCAATCTTTTGCCATATGACCTTCTTGTTAACATTTATAACATTAAATACTTCTAGGTTTTTTAGGATTAGGACATTCTTTTGACATATGGGTTATTTCACCGCAATTAAAGCATGAATTATTCTTCTTCTCTCTTGAATTACCATTTGAACAATCACGGGACATATGGCCTTCTTCTCCGCATTTAAAGCAACCTTTTTTTCTTTCTCCTCCTCCTTAACGATCATTATTTTCTTGATTACCTTAGTTTCTTGATTTATAGAAGAATGAACTATTACTATCTTTGTTTTTATTATTATTATCTTAACCCCATCCTATATTATTATTAGTTTCTGTTTAATTACTCCATCCTAAACTTTCCTATTTTTATTAACTACCACATCCTCCTTCTTATTTACTTTCAACGTTTCCCCATCCTCCAGATGTTTCTTGCTTTTTTTCGTTATTTCCCATGCACCCTGTTCTTCCTTCTCCTTGCTTGTTTTCAGTGTTTCCCCATGAAGAAGATGTCGCATTATTGGCTAAGCTTTCGCTTTTATTTCCTTGATTATTATTTGAAGATCCCCATCCTCCAGAGGAACTATTATTATTGTTAGAAATTACCCATCCTGCAGACTTATTATTGTTTTAATTGCTTTAGGAGCCCCATACTGGAGTTTATACTTTATTATTATCATTATTAGTTGAAGTTGACCCCCAACCTACTCCTTAAAGAGAATTCTATTCTACTTTATTATTATTATTATTTTATGATCCCCAGGCAGTTTCTATTTTATTTTTATTATTAATCAAAGAATTACCATTCCAGCCTGAAATAGAGTTATCATTTTAAGAATTAAATCCATTTTAAGTATCATAATTATCTTAAACCAAAACAGAACTACTTTATTAACTTTTAGAATTAAAACCAGATTAGATAACAGTTAGATCAATAACTAAAGGAGGTTCATTCTGTTTTTAAGCAACTTCATTTAAGTATTTAAATTATTATAAAACATCAAAAGAAGGGAAATCAGATGATTCTATAATTTTAAAATAAGTATCACTTTTGGAAAATAAGTCATTAAATATTTAAATGTAATCTGGTTTTTAGATAGTGAACATTGCAGAAGTTAATAATTCAATTTAATTTTGAGAATTTTTTTCATAATCAAGTTCAAATATTTTAATTTAGTCTAAAAATAGATAAAATGTTTAATTTTTCATTTTCTAATATATGCTTTCATTTAAGGTTAAAGGTTTGAAAGCTCTTTTTAGAATCGCTCCTCTGAATTTATAATCAACGGATTAAAATACAAGAAGACTTTCCTTATTTTCTTTAAATTATACTTAAAGAATTCGACCTTTTTTTAATTAAGTTCTTTTTACTTTATATATAACTTCAAACAGCTCTGAAATATTTATTTCTTTCATTACTTTAATATTATCATCGTCTTTCTATTCTTATAAGATGTTTTTTCCTTTAAATTTAAAGAACATACTAGAATTCTTATACAAATTTTATTACATGAATTTAATCAAATATACAACAGAGGTTTAAGGACTATTATTTAAAGGGCTGCTTTCTTAGATTAAACTTAAAAAATATTAAGCTTTCTTTTCCCCAAATCCAGGTAAGAATTTGAGTACTCCTTTATGATTAAAAGGATCGAAAAGTTCTTAGAAAAATACTTTTTCAGTGCAAATCCTTTCCTATAAAAGCTATTCATATTTAATATGGAGTTATTTTTGATTAAGTTTTTTCTAAAAAGGTTAAAATTTTATATTGAGAATATTATTATTTTCAGTATTCCATATATTACATACTTCTAATAATCTATATTATAAACAGCGAGCTTATTTTAAAGCTAGAATCTTCATTTTTTCTGCTGTTCCTTGGATATTCTCTACTGATTTTATGTATATAGAATCCATTTCAAGATTTACAATTATTATTTTCTTCGCTACATCACTAAATTAACCCATCAAGTCTCTTTTTAAAGCTATTGCAAGAGGAGTATTAGATGATATAGCAATTATTGTTGGCTGTTTTTTGTTTATTAAATCTTTAAAGTTTTTCATTTCTAGTTGTTTACGTTCTTTATATTACTCCTCAAAATTAAAATACAAGTCTAATGATTATTTGTAGGTCTCTTTTCCAACTAAATTTATTATAGAAACTCCAATAGTACCTTTTTCATGACTTATATACATAGACATTATAGAATCGGGTACAACATAACGGTTTAAATGATCTTTTATTTAATATTCTCCCTTTTATGTAAATAAATTAAAACTTATGTATTTTTAAATTTTTTACATAGCTTATAAATAATTTAAATTTTTAAAAGCAAGCATCTTAAACATATTTTAAAGCTTTTTCTTCAAGCAATTTTTAAGTCTGTTTTTATACATAAGGAATACTTTTTATTTATATAATTATGTATGAGTATATTTATAAATATTATTATTTTATTATATTTATTTACAAAAATTAATCAAGAAAAGTGTCAATAATTTGATTTAAGTGATCTTAATAATTATTTTTTAAATGAGGTTAAAAATATTACAAAAGAGTTTTTCTTATGAATTCCAAACAAGTAATTTGAAGTTCACACTTAATAAGATTACTTTCTATAGCTAATTAAATATAAAGATATTAATCATCATCAAATTTGTTAAAAGGTTCTATTGATTTCATATTTATATATAAAAATTAAAAATATATAATTTTACTTTTATCTATTTTCTTAACTGAAAAGTATTCATGATAAATATCAAAATCAACAATATTAGGAAGAGGAGAAGTAGAAATAGTCACATTATCTAAATATATTTATAAAAGATAATCTTTAACTAAAGGATTATAAAGTAAATCTATAGACAATAAATCTTTATAGGCTTTAAAATTAGAAGAAATATTAGATGGAAGTTAACTTTTTTTTCCACAAATATCATTATTCTTTTTTTTTAGCAAACGTAAAGAAAATTCAATAGAGTTTTCAAAAAAGTTAAAAGTATTTTAAGGTATCTATAGCTGACGGCATTTTTTTATTATATTTCTATGCTCTATAGATATGTTATGATTATTTGATTCATTCAGTTCATATATCATTTTCTATATTTAAGCGTATATCATCACTTCTTCCATTTTTTCATTATTTATAGCATAATCAATTAAAGATTAATCAATTTCTTGTATTGTGTATAATTCTAATAATTAATTTTCAAATACTTGTCTTTTTTATATGATTATATTGAATATTTTTTTTTTCTTACTTTAAGATTATATATTCTTTATATTAAATGCATTAGTTAAATATTAGCCATAGATTTTCCATAGAAATATTTATATGGTTAACTTTTTTTGAATAGTAAATAAAAGGTACTTCATATTTTTTATTTAAAACTAAATCTAGTACTAATTGAATGTCAGAAATTTTAAAGTCCTGACATTAAAAGCAGTTTTGGGATATCCAAAGTGATTATTCTTTTAAATTTTCAGGAGAGAAATATTTATCAATATATGATCTTTTAATTTTTTTATATTTTAATTTTAAAAATATAGATAATTGTTGAAATTAAATGTATTTAAATATTAAAATATTATAAAATAAAAATAATATTTATTTCTAATATAATTAAATAATATTTACAAAAGTTTTTAGTTTAATTAAAATATATAATATATAGATTATTATTTTTATTAAAAAAAATATATAGTAGAATTTTTTATTTACCCAAATATCATTTAATATCTTTCTGGAATGTCTTTTTATACAATTTAAACTTCTCTTGCTTAAGTGAAATATTTCTTTATTTGTTCTTTATCATAAAAAGGATTGTGAAGATTAAGATTATCAAAGTTTAGCTTTTTTATTTAGATATATCTATATTATATTTAAAATATATAAAAAATATTACTTCATCATTATTATTATCCTCTTAAGATTTAAATTATTTTCTTTAGAAGTCTCCCAACAAATTTTTATTGTTTTTATTAAGTGGTTTATCGATTTCATCGATTATTTCTTACCTTCTTTTCTTTTTATTCTGAGAAATAGTATCAGTAAAGTCACAATTAGTTTGACTTTCGAAAGCACTATTAGGACTTTCAATAGCATTATTAATAGCTTATTAGCTCTGATTATATAATTTTTAGCTATTTTTATCTTAAGTAAGATGTTATAGGGTTTCTACCTCCATAATGTTCTATGGTTTTTTTCTTGTTTCTTATCTTTTTTTTTAGCTTATTATTATTGTTTTATTATATTTTTAATATTATTAATTTTTGAAAAATAGAAGTATTTATATCAAAAAAAATTTATAAGAAATTTTATTCGAATTTTTAGAAGCACGATAATTAAAATCTTTTATAAAATATTTTTTTACTTAAAAATTTTAGTAAAAATATAAATTTTTCTTTAATTTTATTAAAAATATAGCCTTTTCTAAAAAATACAATATTTTTTTTAAAATAAAAATATATTAATTTATAAAGTTTTGAAACTTTTTAAAAAATATGATTAAATAAGGTATGAAAATATATTATTCTTATAATAATTATATTATATTATTTTACATTATATTTATTTATTATGTTTTTAAAAAAGTAATGAAAAAAAATATAAATAAAAACCAATTATATAAATAAATATTGCTTTTAATTATTATTATTACTTTATGAAAAAAATTAAATAAAAATAACTAAAATTAAAAAAAAAAAATATATAAAATATTATCTTTTTATAAAATCTTTATAATATAAAAAAAATAAAATAAATAAAAAGCAAAAACAAATTTAAATATTTTTAAAATAAAAAAATAATTATATTGTAAAAAATAAAAAAAAGTATTCACTCTCCATTTTTTCCTCTGCTTTCATAAAAAGCAATATATTAAGAAACCATTTAATTCACTTATTAATTCATTTCTTAAGACATTTCTTTTTTAATGAATTTTCTGTAAAAGAACCCAAGTAAAGCAAAGACAGCTATAAGTCCAATAAAAGTGATTAATAGAATAACCCAAATGCTCATCCTTTAATTTCCACTTCCAATATCATCAAAGTCATTTTTTCCAATAAAATCTTGAGTATAAGTAAGGCAGTTTCCTTCAGGCTTTTGAATGCTGTTACAAAGGGCTTCAAATATATTATCAGGAATAATATTTCCTCTATAAATTTAATTATTTATAGTAAGACTAGGCCAACCTCTAATTTTGAATTATTCTTGCAAAAGTAATTATTTACTTAACAAAGGACTATTAGATTCAGAATTAGCTTTGACACATTATTCTAAAACTTCAACATTTACATTTTCCATTGTCATAGTTATTTAATAACTACATTCTTTATATAATTAAGGTTTATTACATTAAATAGCAAAATTTCTCCAATAATCCCACCAAAGACTACTTTCCTATTAAAATATACATAATTATCTTATCACTTCGTTTACAATATCTGCTCCTGTTGCTATGGTTGAAGAAGTTGGGATTTTTCCTTTTTCGGTTGGTAAATCAGGATCTTTAGCACAAAATTTACCTTTTTAAATACAATTTTCATTCTATTCTTATTCAAGTAAGCTAAATATTTAATATACTGGTTCAAAGAAAACTTTTTTTTTTTAAATATAATTTTTTTTTTTTTTTTTATTTTTTTACGTTTATTTTCTCCAATTTTCTTTTATATTTTGCTTGTTTAATAAATTAATCTGTTTGCATATTTAGAAGGTAAAGAAATCCATATTTTATAATTCGTTTATTCAAATTTTTATTCTACAAACTCGATACTTAATTAGACTTTTCCTTAATTTTATTTGTTTTCTAACCATTTCTTTAATGCTTTTCCGACTTTGTATCCTATAATAATAGAAGGAATTTAAATTTGCTCTCCCATTCCATCATCACCTATAAGAACTTTACTAGCATTTTCATTTGGATTATCATCAACCTTTATTTTAATTTTTTTATAAAATAAATAATTTTTTTTTTTTACAAAAATCACAACACTAGCACCAATCAATTAAGCATTATATGCTTTTGTTACAAATGAGCATTCTCCTCTTTCAATTAACAAAAAGTAAATACTTGTATTTGTTTAATCCAATTAGTCTGTTTAAGGTTTAACTATTTCAGTACAGCCTTTATATGGATCTGCTACGATTAATTCTCCAATTATACGCTTTCCATAAGGAACAAATCCAAAATTACCTATAGAATATTATATTAGCTCACTCTTATCTTTGTCTAAATCTTATATTTCTTTTTTTATTTCTTAAGGACCTAGTATTATTAGATTTGCTTATACTTAAGATATTTAATATGTGGTTAATAGTATTATAATTAGTAAATTATGTATATACATTTTTTTAAATTTTATTTGTTTAAGTTTTTTTTTTTTCTTTTATTTTACTTTTATTTTTTTCTTGTATATATATATATTATATTTTTTTAATTTTAAATATTAATTATTTAAAGATTTCTAATTTTTTTTCTAATTTTTTATTAAAAACTAAATTACCAAAAAAAAAGGATATTATCATTTTTACTTGATTTTTTCAAAAAATTAATAAAATATTTATTAACAAGTAATTTTATGTTAACGAATAAAGAGGTATAAATTTAATTAAAAATTAATTTTATATTATTTAAAGCAAAATATATAATTTTTTTCTTTGTTTGAAATATATTTTTCTTTTAAATTATAAAAGTAATATTTATATTTATTTTATACAATCAAGAATTACTGTATGTAATTGATGGCACGATTAACCAAACTTATTTTTAATCGCAGTTTTTGGGCTTTTAATAGTAATGTTTGCGATTTCGGTTAATTTAAAATTATTAATTCTTATTTATAAATTTATCGAAAATCTTATATTAAAATTTTAAACATTTATAATTATATTAAAATAAAAATATTTGTATAAATATCATATATAAAAAAAAATCTAGCCATCGTCTCTGATATATTTTAATAAATAATAATTATGCTTAATTTTATTTTTATAAAATATAAATTTAATTAAATATAAAATATTAATTTACAAATTATTATATGTGATGATAAATAATATGTGTTATACATCATATATTTTAAATAAGGTTTTTAACTAATTTTTATCATATATAACCTTATATAATATATTTTAAGATAAATAAAACATATAAATTATCTGAAATAAAGTTGATCATTTTTAAGATATGAAGATTCAAGGCATATGTATTTGGTTTATATCTTTTCTGAAAATAATTCAAACTATAATTTCACAAAAAAAACATTAGCTTTTTTATAAGCAATTAAATTTTTATATTTAATTTAACAAAATAACATTAAAAATAGTAATTTTGAAATATTCATAATATATTTATTTTTTGAAATATAATAAATTTTCAATAAATCATTAATATTAAAATAACATTTTTCTAATTAATTAATTCAATTTTTTAATTTTGATAATTTTTAAATTATATACATAATTAACTTGAAAAAAATAAAAAAAAATAATGAGTTTTTGGCAAAAATTAGATAAAATTTTGACAAAAGTTGAATAAAAAGGTTTTAATGCAGCAAATAAATTTCATTAATATACAGTGAATGTTTTAATATGTGGTTTTTTATATGGTACATATACATTATTTAGAGATTATAATGAATTTTTTATTGATGCGAGAGTAATTAATATATTTATGCTTATAATTTTAAATTATTAAAAAAGGAAATAACAGTGGAATCAATTGGTCCATTGCCAGAACCAGTATAGGATTCATAAATAAACGCTTCCTTAAAAAATAATAGAAATAATTGAAAAAGTTATATAAATAAAAATTATAAAAAGGATTTTTATATATATAATAAAAAATACATATACTATATATATATATCCAAAATTTTTATATTAAAATATATAATATATATTTTTTTTAATTTATTATAAAACAAATTACTAAATAATATTTTAATTAATAAAATATATTAATTAAAATTTTATATTTATTTTTAATTTATTTTTAAATATAAAATAAATTTTTATATTTATATATCTATTTATTTTTTAAATAAAAACATAAAGGAAAAAATATATCTTTGTATTACATAATATTTTTGTTTTCTTAAGATTTAAATCTATTTTATATAAAGAAAGGATATAAAAATTAATATAAATTATTTATTATTAAATAAATAATATATTTTTTTTATCTAAATATATTTAAAAATTTAATCATTAATACTTGTATTCTTAATTATGAATTATTTAATTTAACCCTGACTTTATTATTATTTTTAGAATAATTTTTTTTTATTAATAGTTCATCTTTGTTTTATTATTAATATATTTTTCTATATTAATAACTTCACTTTTCATTAAAGATTAATTATTATTTCTAAAATTGAACTTTTCATTTTAAAATTTTTCATCAAATGAGATTTGAATAATAAAATTACATAATATTTCTAGTTTTCCAATTTAAGACTTAATAAAATTTATTTTAATTAGCAGGTTTATTATTTTATTTTTGAATTATGTATTTTTTTAATTAATTAAAACTCAGGTAAATTTTAAAAATTATTTATGTTTTCTTTTTATCTTGTTAAAAATACTTTATTAATAAATATCTATTATTATATTAATTATAGATTAAAAAATAATTAATTATAATTTTAATAAAAAAAAAATGATTATTTCATTAAACAAATAAATATTAATTTAAATTACTTTTCTCAAATACGATTATATATGATTTTTATAGTTTATAAAAAAAATTATTCTTTAAAACAAAAATAATAATTTAATTTTACTTTTATCTTTTTTTTTGTTTTTATATTTTTAAATTTTGAAAATTTCTATAACTTATAATTAAAATTTTTTATTTTTCATAATCTATTTAATTTGAATTCTTTTTTTTAATATAATTGAAAATTTCTATAACTTAATATTTAAAATTTTTTATTTTTATTTTTCATAATTTATTTATTTTGAATTTTTTTTTATAATATAATTAATTGGAAATATTTTCTTTTAAATTTTAATTATAAGTAAATATTTGAATAGTTTACCAGACAATTAAACAATTTTCTACATACCATCCTATTAAAAAGTCATTTTAAAAAGTAGCTTATGATCAATCAGTTGTCTAAATATTTTACTCCAATTTATTTTTTTCACTGAAATTTTTCATATGATTAATTTATTTGAAATTCAGATAATCCTAATATAAATCCTTTTCTATTAATATCTATTTATAAAGTTATAATTTAAAAAATAAAAAAACTTAAGTATTTACTCTTTTAGAGACTTATATATTGGCTTCTTCACCTTCTTAAATTATTTAAAAAAATTCTGGAAAGAGTTTTATTTGTTTGTAAATTATATGATTATAATTAAATGTTAGCTTGTTTTTTTTATTTATAGAATATTTAATAAGCACTTTTTTATAAATTTTAATTTATTTATGTTTTAATGCATTTAAGTTTTCTTATACCAATCTATTTATTTCTTATTAAATATGATTCCTCGATTTTCTATCCTTAATAATTATTATGCACATATATATGAAATTATTTTATTATATAAAATATGCTGTTGTTTTTTAATAATTTAATTATAATTAGTTTACATATATATATTATGTATTTTTTAATCACTTTTTGATATTCCATGTTTATATTATTTCTTGAAGAAGATAATAAAATCCTTCTTCTTCTTTGATGTTTTTTAGATATAATATGTCTTATTTATTTTTATTTTCACAAACTTCTAAAATTTCGATAAATATTACTTCTTTATTTTTTTTTAATTTGTTGACTGAATTTAAAATTTTAATTTTTTGGAAAGATTATAAACTTTGAAAAATTATTCAACATAATGTAAATCATATTTATCTAATATTAATTAAATAATAAAAATTTTAGAAATTCGTTATTAAAAATAAATAATTATTGAAAAAATAATTTTTTAAGAAAGATTTAAAGGCAGAAAATCTAATAAGTATAATAATCAATAGCATAAAATACCTAAAATGGAAAGCCTTGATTTTCATAATTTATAAATATTCAAAGAATTTGAGAAACTTCATGATCTTAATTTTAATTAAAAGAGTTAAACACTTTTACTTAGCAATTTAGTTTACAAAAAGTTGACTTATCAACAATAAAATAATTTTTTTAAAAATCTCCTTTAAGTCAATTCGATAGAAAACATATAAACAATATTTTACTAATGTTTAATAATAAATTAGATGAAGATTATAATAAAAAAAATTAAAATAAAATAAAAGATATAAAAATAATATAATCTTAATTAGTATTTTAAAATAATAATCAAATTAATAGTTAACAATAGAAAATAAAAGTCTTATAAGAATAGTTTATTTAAGTTATTTAAAATTTAGAAGGTTGCATTTAAAAATTCAGTTTTTAGAAAAAAGTAAGTATAAATTATGGCTTCATGATTAACTTGAATAAAATTAATTAAAATAATAGAGAAATAATTTTATTAATTAAAATAACTTATATTGTGTATAAAATTCATACCTATCTTATTAAATAAATAATAAAAAAACGACTTTATGAATTTAAACAATAAAAACAAAAAATTTAAATTCTATAAAAATAGCATTATTTTGGTTAAATAAATTAATTAAATTATATAATTTAATATTATGAAATAAAATAAGATTCATATTTTTATGTTTGTATTTTATAAAAATTTATTATATTTTTTTAATACTTATTTATGTTTGACATTTATCTAAGAGAATTAAAAGAAAAAATATTTAAAAATTTTGTTTCTTCAACTCCTTAATGTGTAACTCCTAATTTAGTTACTTTATTTTCTTTAATTTTTGGGATTATTTCAGCTTTGGCATGCTCTTAAGGATTATATACGATTGGATTATATAGTTGGATAATTAATAGGATACTAGATGGATATGATGGTAATTTTTATTTAAAAAGGTTTATATTAATGATATTATATATCAATTTTAAAGGAACACTAGCAAGAGTTAGAAAAATGTAAACAGATTTTGGCGGATATTTTGATATTATTGCAGATTTCATAGTATATAATTATTCTTTTATATATAATTAAAAAATTATAATTATAAAACTTTTATCTTTTTCAAAAAAGACATATTCAATAGTACCAATAGGGATAGCATATTAAAAATAAAATATTTAAGTTTATTTCGCATTATCTATTATGCTTGGAACTTTTTTTGTAAACTCAGTAGGGCTATTTTATTTAAGTGCTATTTTAGAAAAAAGAAAAGTAAATTAAATAATATAATATATACTATAATAAAATTTAAAAAATAATATAAATAAAATCTATATGTAGCTTACTAAAAATAACGAGCTTACAACTATTAGTATGCCTTAGGCTTTAATAGAAGGAACTGAAACAGTAGTTATGTTTTCTCTTTTTATAATATTCCAATAATAAATTGTAATTATAATTTTATGATATATATAGTTAAAATTAAAAAAAAAAATTATTTTCTAATTTTTAGGTATTTTTGTACTGGCTTTTTTCTATTGGTGTTTCAATTTCAATTACATAAAGAGTTATTTTTGCAAAAAAAGTACTAAAAGAATGAAACAATGATATAAAAAAACTATAAATTTATTATAATAATTTTATGTGTATTTTATATTTTAGTCAATTATAAACCTATTTTTTAACTAGTAACAATTAATATTCATTTTAATATTACTTTTTTTGATGTTTTTTTATTTATTTTGTTATTTATCTTAAAATAATCTATTTAAACAAAAAAAACAGTTATCTTTTTTTTTTTAATTTGCTTTCTTTTTAAAAAAATATGTATAAAAATAAAAAAATCAAAACAAACATGATAATTATTTTTTAATATATCCATATAATATATAATTTATTTAGAATTTAATTATAAAATATTTTTTACCTCTGATGTGTTAAAATTAAGTCTTATTTATCATAAAATTAATGATTTTTTCTATATAAAAATAAATTTATAGACAATATAATATATTAGATATAAGAAATAATAATTTATGTAAAGAGTCCTATCAAAGAAATTTGGATTTAAAAAAAATAAAATCTTAAATAATATATGATAACTAAATCAAATCAAATAAAATAAATTTTAAAATAAAACTAAAATTAAATAGAATAAAAAATAATACATATAATATATTATTATAATTAAATAATTAACTAAAATATAAAAATAATAAACATATACTTAATATAAAAAAATAAAATAAAAAACCATATAATATATTGTTATCAAAAAAAAATTACAAAATTCAAATAAAGAGAAAAAAATAATTATATGAATTCAAGTTTAAACAATAACATATATTTAAAATTTGTATCATTTGATATATAAAGTGAAGTAGTATTTTATAATATATTAGTTACAAATAATTTAAACATCAACTAAACAAAATTAAAAGAAAGATATTCAAGAATGCTTCAAGTGCACAAGCATTTAATTAAACAATATTCAAACGATAATGTTCCTTAGTTTCCACCGAAAAAGTGGTTTGGAAATAAATCTGAAAATTTCATAAATAAAAGAATGAAAGCATTAGAAAATTATTTTAGTATAGTATTGAAAAAATTTTAAATAGAAAGGACTGAAATTTTACGGAGATTTATATATAATGAAGATTAATTAAATTCTTAAATTGCTTAATCTTCTTCTGGTGGTTCTTTATTTATTCCTCCTGTTTAAAAAAAAGATGACATGAAAAAAAACTTAAATCATGAAAATGTTATAAATGGTGGAACATAATAATAATAATAATAATAATATGTTATATTAAATAACAACTTTAATGCACCAGCAAACAAAGAAGAATTATTTAAGAGAAATATGGAATTAATAGAATAAAAAGCATAAACTAATTTCATTGAATATAATTCTTCATATATACCTGATGGAATCAATTAAAAAAAAAATACTTTCGATTCTTTAAATTTAAATTTTAAACAAAAAGGGATCGACTCTTTTAATTTTCCTATTGGAAATGGAGAAAAAAATCCTTTTACAAGTGAAAACTAGAAACAAAAATAACTTTCTTTTATTAGTAAACTAGATTATTTCTCAGAACAAATATAAAAGATCCTTTGTTATACCAATATTAATAGAGAACCTATGCTAGTTATGATAGCTGAATTATGATAATTAAATATCATTATTTGAAATTTTTAAATATATATAAATGTTATTTTCATATTATTTTATATAAGTATTAAATATGTGATATTATTAGTATTTATAGAATAAAAAAATATTACTTATATTATTATTTATTTGATTTTATACGATACTTTATTAATATTAATTTATTTACAAAATTAATTATATTATTTAAATAAAATTCATTGACTTTATTACTATATATTTTTATTCTAAATCGCCTTAAATCTGAAAATTATTAAAATAAGGAAAAATGGTCTAAATGGTTATTTCATAATCCTTAATTTAGAACAAAAAAGTTATGATTAAAATTAATATTAAATTAATTTTTGATTTTACTACAAAATTAATTATTTTTTTAAGTTTAAAAATGTATAAACGAATATATATATATTATTTTAAATAAAATAGTTAAAATTTACAGTTAGATAAATAAAATATTTAAATACTTATTAATTTTAATCAAATGATTTAAATTTATTTAAGTAAAATTTAATTACCCATATTGTTAAGTAAATTTATAAGAGTCTTATGATGATTTATTTTAATTGTAATCTGCAGATTTATTTATTAACAATTAGATAATTAATAAAATAAAAATTTTAAATTGAAAATGAAATAAAAAATATAAAATATGAAAACTTATTTTTATTTTTTTTAAATTTATAAATATTAGATTTAAATATATTAATCTATATATTGATTTATCATTAATTTATTATTGATAAATAGGATGATTATAAAAAATGAATAAATTTGAAATTATATACTATCTTTATCAATAACTTTTTGAACTTGAAAAGTTTTGATTTAGTAAAAAAAATTAAATAATAAATATACTAAATCAAACAAGGTTTTAACTTATGAAGGTTTATAATATATTCATATAATTATATTTTTATTTCAATATTAATTTATGTTTAATATTTATTTATAAAAAATTTATTCAATTTCATTTTTATTCCATAATCCATTAAAAACTTAATATTTATTGTCACTTTTTTGATAAAAAGTACCTAACCCATTCATTTCATCATTTTCCCAATCTCCTTCATAAAAACTTTCATCATAAAAAACATATTTACCTTTACCATTTCTTTTATCTTATTTCCATTCACCTTCATAAAATTCATTATCTTATAATTTAAAAAATAATTAATTAAATAAAAATATTAAAATATTTTAATATAGAACTTTAATAAGTTTATTTTCCGAATCCTTCTTTAAAAGAGTTTTAGAATTACCCTTAATATAATGTCTTATCAGGAAAATAAAAAGTTGCATTTGAACTTTCTTTTTAATTATTTTTCCAATGCCCTTCATATACACATCCATTTGAATAGAAATATTTCCCAAAACCATTTCTCATTCCATTTATAAAGTCTCCAATATATTTGTCAGTATTTTTATAATAAAATATTCCATCTCCATTTTTTTTTTCAAAAGAATAATTTTCTATATATTTATATGAAAAAAAAATTCCTTCATAAAAAAAGGGATCATCTTCATATAGAAAAATATCTTTATATTCTTATTTATTTTATTATAATTATCCTTTCGCAAAATTCATTTTTTCTAACCAAACACCATTAAATTAATCTCCATTAGAAAAATTAAATACTCCTTATCCAAATTTAATGTTGTCTTTAAAGTATCCTTCGTAAAAATCCTATATAAAAATATACTTATATATTTAAATTTATACATATAATTTTTAATTCAATATAAAAAAATAAAATAAAGATCGACAACATTGCTTTTATACACTAATATCCCATAACCATCCTTCACATTGTTTTCCCATTTTCCTTAATAAATACATTCGTATTTCATATAAAAGTAAGTTCCTATTCCATGTTTATTGTTTTAATTTAACTCTCCCTTATAAATATCTCCATTTTTATAAATATAAGTTCCTTCCCCTTAAAATTAGTTCATTTGAAAAAATCCTCCATATACATCTCCATTTTACATATAGTATAAACCCCAACCATGCCTATTTTTATTAATATTATTTTATTTTTATTATATTTTTTTAAAAAACCTATATATATTAGATTTTATTTAAATTATTTATCCTTAATAATAAGAGTTTGTTTAATATTGAATTTTTTTTATATTTACTTAATTTTTTAATTTATTCTTAAGTTTATCTATTATTAAAGTCGCTTCTTCAAATTCTTTAAATAATTAACTTTTTTAGTTAGAAACAATTTAATTATTATCATAATTAATCAAAGTCATTGACTGTTTTGGCTATTGTAATATTAATTAAGAATATTCAAATTGCTCCTTATTATAATTGCAAATATAATTTTAAACATTTTTTTAAATTGGAGAGTTAACAATTAATGAATTTTTTATGTCCAAACTAAAATTTTAATTATTAATACTATCAAATTCATTCAATTTTAAAGTAATTATTTAATTCAGTAAATCAGATTATCTATTTTTTTCACTAATTTTCTGAAGATTTTGATTAAAAGATTAATTATTAATAGACTAAAAGTAATTACTATTAGTATTATTTTCGTTAAGAATGTTTTTTTTTGGATTTTATATATTATCTTAACATATATTTAAATCAAGGTTATAATTATGTTTCGATTCTTATAAGTTATTAAATGAATAATTATAATTCATAACGTCATCTGTTTGAAAAATCTGTTTTTAATCATTTTCAGAAAATGCTATTTTTTTATGTCCTTTATATTATTCTTCAAAAATTTTTAAATTTTGTTAATGCTAAAAATTTATTACATTATCACTGTAATATATTTGGCTTTATAATTTAAAATTTTAATTGTAGTCCTTGAAAATTTACAAAGGAATATTTCCTTCTTTAAATTAATTACATATATTTTCATATTTTACTTGTAAATATTTATTATATTTTATTAATTCTGATAATATATAGCCTATTGTTTATACGTTTGTTTTAATCTATGATATATTATATTATTATTATTGTTATAAATCTAAGTAAACGTATAATATTCTAATATAATTATTTTGCTTTGAGTTTATTTTTTTTATATTTATATCTATTTAAAACAACTAATAATCTAAATAATAATATGCACAATCGTTATTTTAGAGATAAATTAATGTACTTAAAGATGCAGCTATTATATTATCAATTAATTATTCTGAAATATTATTTTATGTCAGATTTAATATAGTTTATTCAAAGTATTCATAAAATATATAAAATTAAATTGTTGTTTCATATTATATCTAGTAAGTAAAATATTTTAGTTGGTTAAAATATTAATTATTATTTACTATTTTTATTAATAATTATAAGTTTTTTATTATTTTGCTCTATTCTGCTATACTATATTCTATTTTTGTACATAATAGATATTCTGTTATTGGGTTTTTAACTTAAATATTTAAATAAGTAAATAAATAACAGTCAAATATATTTTATTCTCTGAATTTTATAGATTTTAGCTTTGTAAAATTATTCTAAAAAACTTTTGTACAATCAATTTTATAATAACTTAAGTTATTAACTTCAATCAGATGTTCTAATTCTAACATTATTAATAATTATTATTATATAAATATTTATATTTTATTTGAAATAAATTTATAAATTATAATATTTCTAATATACTATAATTTTGGAATATTATAAAAACTCAATTTTATTAAATTAAAATAATAAAAAAAATATTTATTATAACTTATGTGATAAAATTTGTTCTAATATATTTTTATTTATAAAAAAAAAATACTTTTCTTTTAATTATATTTGAAATAAGCATTAAGATACTATATTGAAATATAAAATGCTTTGTATATTTTACAATTTCTTTGTTATATTTTAAAATACAAATTATAAAAGTTAGAAATTTTCAAGTATTTATTAAAATTAATTTGATTTTATTTTGTATTAAAGTTTATGTAATAAGTTATTAAATAAAATATATTATTTATAATTTTTGATATTACTATCTTTTAATAAAAAAATTATTATATTAATAAAGTTATATATAAATAAATAAAAAATATATTTATATATTACATTTTATAAAAAAATTCAAAATATATATATAAAAATCTTAAATGAATAAAACTTACAAACGAGTCGGTGAATATATAATAGAAACTAGCAGTAAACTGGGAAGTGGCCAATACGGTACAGTATATCGTGGAAGTTTAGACAGCTATGTCGGATCAGATAACGTAATTTATGCAATTAAAGAAACTCCGATACCTTTTTGCAATGGAGGGATAGAAAAAACCAAATTGGATGCAGCAATTCGTGAAATAAATAACTTAAGGTAATTGAATCACCCCTATATAGTAAAATTTATTGATGCAAAATAAACAGACAAGAACATATATTTAATAATGGAATATTGTAAAGATGGTGATTTAGAAGGATTAATAAAGAAGAACCTTCCAAACGAAAAAGAATGCCTTTATTATTTTTCCTAATTAGTAAGTGCTTTTAAATACTTAATAAATAAAAAAATGCTTCATAGAGATATAAAGCCTGAAAATATTCTAGTACATAATGATATGTTGAAATTAGCAGACTTTGGTTTTTCAAAAAATATAATAGAGGGTGATAGTGAATAAGCCACAATAACAGGGACACCCCTTTTTTCATCCCCTTAAATTCTCAGAGGATAATAATATACAAGTAAAAGTGAAATATGGAGTTTGGGAGTTACTTTATATTTTATGCTATTTTATGACCCTTAAAACCCAAATAATTCTTATCCTTGGTATGCTACTACTTAAGTGAATTTAACTTAAAATATCCTTAATAATCCCGATTTGAGATTTCATAGTTAGAAAAATCTAAGTTCTGCATTAAAAGATTTGCTAAGAAGAATGCTTACCTTAGATGAATAAAAAAGAATGAATTGGGATGAGCTTTTTTCTCATGAGCTAGTTTAGATTGATTAAAAGTTGCCCAAATCATTAAAAATAACAGACTAATTGGATATTAAAAGTATTTAAGCTTAAGAAAGTTGGATAAACGAAGACATGACATAAATAATGGGAAATAGGTAAAATAATAAATTTATAGTAGAGAAAATAGAATAATACATCGAATAATAAGAAAGCCTAGCATATTTTGTTTTCAATACTGCTAAATTATTTAATGATATAAAAAAAAGAATAGCAGAGTATTTCATGGATGATTATATTATTACAGTTTAACTTATGTATGTTTTATGTAATAGATCTGATGTTATTTTTTATGAGCTTTATTGGAGGTTCTAAAATAATTAAAATAATTATTTTAAAGATAAAATTGATTAAGATGATTGGAATAAATTTAAAAATGAAACTAATAAATATTAAAAACATTAGGAAAAAATCAGTGCCGATTATCAGACTTATCATAAAAATTTCCTTGTCTTTTAAGAAAAGTTACTCAAAAATTAAAGCGATATCCCTAATAATAAAGAACCTAATAAAATTGACGTTGTCTTTGAATGTTAAGTAATTGAAAAAGTTATTTCTTATTTATTATTCCCTCTTGATGAAATTAATACAAAATTATGTAATTAAATCAAAATTACTGAAGAAGATAATAAATTATTATAACTAGTTGAAGATCTTTTAATGATATATACATTTGATCATACTTTTAAAAGCAGCCAAAATAATATGAAACCTAAAAATATAGGAAGATTTTACTTCTTAAGGAAATTTACTGATCCTAAAGTGCTATTTGCAAGAATAAGTATAGCTTATAAATAATTATTCGGCTGAAATTTGTCAATAATTTAATTTTTTTAATTTATGAATTTTTAAAAAAACTTATTCTTATTAATTTATATATATACTTTTCTTTAATATTTATTTAAAATTTAATTTTATTATGCCGCTTTTTAAAAAAATATGTATTTTTATAATCATATATATCAAATATATAAAATCTTATAAAATTAATTAAATTATTAATGAAAATTTTTAAATAAATTTATGTTCTTTAAAATTTATAAAATCAAAATTAAAATTAGTTAATTTTATACTAAAATATTAAGTTTAATTTTCATATTATAGTAATAATAAATCTTAAAAGAAAATAAAAATAAGATATATTTTTAATTTAATTCAGTTTATTTTAATTTCATCATCATTTTCTTATAAAAAATTATTTTTTTATCTCCATTATTATTCTTATTATTGCCAACCTTTTAATAAAATTAAATAATCTTTAGCGGTTTTAACTTTATGTTATAAATAAGCTGACCCTCCATTTTTTGGATTATTAATAGAATAGTATTTAATATATTTCTAGATAATTATTTTTGTTAATAAAAATTATAAAATATATTATTTTTGTTTACTTCCATTATATCATCAATTTAATAATCCATTTAATTTTATATTTATAATATTTTTAATGATTCGTTTTCGCTGATTTAATAATTAGAAAATTTGCTTTCGCTTTATTAATTAGTTTTGTAGTCAAATTATTGATTATTTTGCTTATTATACATATTTTGAAATACTTAATAAAATTGATTAAATTATTTATTTTATTATGCTCTATATTTTGTATAATTAAATACATTATTGATATTTAAATCAAATGTTTTTTTATGATTTACTCCTCTATTATCTTTTATAATAATTTAAATATAAAGTTAATATTTATTTAAAATAATTTAATGCTTAAAAATATTAAATACTTTTTATTGTATTTTTATATGCTCTCATTACTGATTTCCCTACTGATCCAACTAATTTAGTTAAAAACCTTGCAAAAAAAGGATTTACCATTTATATTAATTATAAAATATATTTATTAATTTAATAAAAAATGAATAATATATAATAATTATTTTTAATAATTAGTTTTGTAAAGAAAAATTAAAATTTATTAATATGATATAAATTAATTGTATATATATATTATTATTAATGTGATTGGAAACTAAAAATTTCAAATTTTTATATTACAGATTTTATATTATTCAGTTTTATTTTTAGTTATCGAAAATTTTAATAACTAAAATTACAAGAATTATGTTTTTATATTAATTTTTATCATAAGAAATTAAATAAAATAATATTATAAAAAGTATAAGTATATATATATAATTTTCATAATAAATTCTTTAAAATAAAAATAGACATATTTTTTTTATTTTTTTTTTTTAAATAAAATTAATTAAAGTAAAAATTAAATTATAAAATAAATATAAATATAAATATAAATATAAATATAATATATATATTATATTTATATTTATATTTAGAAATTAATTATTATGAAATTATATCGTATTTGCTTTTTATATATTATTTTTTTTCATTTCCAATAAATTGTATTTAGGATAGAAGATATTTTCAATTCAACACTAATTCTTATATAAAAAACAATCAAAATACATTACATTTACATCTAGGTTTAAATAAATATATTCGTTTATTTCTTATTAAAAAATTAGAAATAAACTATAAATATTATTTGTATGTTATTTATTTATTTTCTTTTAAAAAATATTAAATTAATTCATCATTTATATTAGAATCTTGAAGTTAGTTTTTAATCATACAAAAAATAATAAGAATATTATTTTTTATAATTTTTTTAATTACACTTATATGCAGACAAACATATATTTATAACTTCTTATGCTTATTTGATTAATAAAAAACCTTACTTATGAACATCTACTTTATGCCAACTGCTAATTATATTGTCTAGTTATTAAATATCAAAATTTTCTGTTAACCTTTGTTATAAAACAAAATATTATATTTATTTAAGGATATAAATTTTTTACTAGTCCATATTGTCTGGGTTAAATTTATTTTTATTGTTATATAAATCAATCAGCTATTATATAATAAAATTGAATTAAGTTTTTTAAACCTTCCTATTTATAGAAAATTAGTTGATTGCTAATAATGCATCACTTTTAGTTATTTCTATGGTAAGATAAATAAGAAAAAAAAATTAAAAAATAAAGATTTTTTATTTATTGTTTATGTATTTTTTTTAAAAAAATGCTCAATCAAAAAAAAAGGCTGTTAACCATTTTTTCTCGTACGAATTTTTTTTTTTTGATAGAGATTTTTAAAAAAAAATAATAAAAAACAATATGAATTATATTTATAAAAGAAAATATTTTTAATAAATTTATTATTATATCAATTTACATATTTAAATGTATATATATTTTTACTATTATCAAACGCAATCATGATAATATCGAAACATTATTTTAAAGAAATTTAATTTTTGTTATGGATATCAAAATTTTTAAACAATATATCTGCTTAACTTATTATATATTAATTGTCATTATTTCTCAAATTTTAATACATTTATTAATAATCATAATCTATGTTTGTATTTGTTTTAATTTTTATATTTGTTTTTATTTATTATTATGTTCCAACTGTTACTTATATTTAGTCTAAATTATTTAAAGATTTTATATTTATTTATTTTTTATTATTTTGATTATCTTTAAGATTATTAACTATCTTTGACATTGTACCAACATTTCTAAGTGAATTTATCTAATTTAATTACACGTTTTGGCGTTAGAAATTTTTTTTATATTTAGCATTTTTTTAATTTATAATTTTTTAATTTTCAGGATTTTCCTTTTATATAATAAAATAAGATGACTTTTTATTTATTATTTTTAATTTACTGGAGACTTGAGTGACATTTAGGTTTCTAACTATAATAATTTTTATTTTCTTTTTTTTCAATAATATAAAGAAGTATTTTAAATTTAGTTTTTCTTTGACTTTTTACCTTTTTTTATATTTAATTAACATAAAACACTTTCCACACTCATCCAAATAATTTTTTTTTTTTTATTATTATATTAGATTAAAAATAAATAGAATTATTTAAAAAAAAAAATTGTATAGATGCAATGCAGATTTTAAAATTTCTATTTTTACTTTTATTTTTAGTGAAGGAAGAGAACAGGAGACTGGGAAGTGGGCTTTACAGTATTTTTTTTATTTTTTTATTATTAATAAAAATGTTTCATATATTTTGGATGGTTTGTTTTTAGTAATTTTTTATTAATTTTTATTTATTTTTAAATTTCTAATTAATTCTTTTACAAATTTAGACTAATAATTTTTCTATTTAATCATAATTCTAAAAATTACTTTTAACTAAAAAATGCTTATTTAATTATGACTTAAATCGTAAATTCACAAAAAAATAATATTTTTTTTAAACTAAATTCTTATAAAATAAAAAAATAACTTCTTTATGTAATTAAAAAATTTATTTTTAACAATTTTTTATATAAAAAATATATAGATATTATTTAAATATAGTTTTTTTTATATAAATTAATTGAAAAGTATAGTAAAATAATGTGTTTTTGTAATT